GCAGCTGCACGCAACAGGATCAGCCCGCATTTAGAAGGCTTGCATAGCATGCAGAAGATGACATGTCTTGGGGTAAAAAGGTCAAACCACTCCCTGCAGATAAATCAGATCAGCAGAGGCTGGGTGGCAAACCTGGGATAATCCCCCCAAAAATCTGGTAGAATCCAGTGATTCTAGCATGGAAAGTACAAGTACCTGTACAAGTACAGACAGCAGAGAAGGAACGGTCAATAGAGATCCTGCTAAACGTCGGATGTCATTACAGAAAGGGGTCAAAAACTTTTTCCTAAGGCTGTTTGGCTTTTCTTCAAAAATTGAAAAAACTTAACTTCTTTACCATCAACCCTCCCCAACCGGTCATGGCAGATGGCCTGGTTCTGTCACAGGTTTCTTCCTGTTAAAAGGGAGTTTTTTCCTGTCCACTGTTGCCAAAGTGCTTGCTCACAGGGGATCATCAGATTGTTGGGGTTTCTTTCTTATATTGTGGGGTCTTTACAGTATAAAACGCCTTGAAGCAACTGTTTTTTGTTAATTTTTTAAAATGTAAAAAATAAAATGTAATCAAGTCTTACTTTCAAGGTGTTTTTTGTTTTGTCACTGGTGTCACTGTCTCTGGGTCTGCCACTTTTTGATAAGTGTTAGCCTGATCTCCTTCAAACTTGAATTGATCAGGACCCTAGTAGCTCCAGAGTTGAATTTGAGGTGACTGGAAATACAGTATACGAAGCAAATACTGAGTTTGAAAGTCGAAATTTGACAAGATTTATTCTTCAACACACCCTGAACGTCATTTCTTTAAGCAGTCTTCAGGAATAGTTCTCCAGGCTTCTTGAAGGACATTCAGAGCTCTTCTTGGGATGTTTGCTGCCTTTTGCTCTGATCTCTGTTAAGGGCGTCTTACACTGCTTCACTAATACTGAGGTCGAGGCTTCGGGGAGGCACATCCATGATTTGATGGTGGTCCATTGTGCGTTTTTCTATCCAGATAAATTCTTACTGCAGTGAGTTTGGGATCACTGTCATGCTGAAAATGTAAGCGTCTGATATTGCAGGATGTATCAAATCCAGATCTGATGAAACTTTTCTGCGTTCATAATTCCATCAATCTTGACAAGATCTGTCTCTCTGCTCTTGTTTCAGGTTTTTGCTGGATTTTTTTCCTTTTTCTTAAGGACATGACTTTCAGATACTGTTCATATGCTGTAGACAGTTGTTTAGCCCTACCCTTTCTTCTTTTGTCCTCCATTTGTCTCGTTTCAATTTGGCAGAGTTTTTTGGGGGGGGGAAATACTATTTTATAGCTGTCGAACTGTGTTTTATTCTGCATTTTTAAATAGATTTAACTAAAGAAACGGGAACAAATGATCTGTTTTTGTGACATGTGGCTAGTAACACAGAGGCTAATGATGCTATTTAGAGTTTGTTCTGTTATCTCTGTGATGTGTAGACACAACGCTGGTTCATCCCTTTAGTTAGGTGCCTTTCTATGTTTCAGTGATTCATAGGTCAGTGTTAAATCTTGTTAAGTAAACAAACAACTAGTTTAACTCACAACCCACAACTTAATGTCTTCTGCAGAGCCTCTTTGGCTCTATAGCAAATCAAAATTAAAGAAATAACGTGTCCTTGTGATTGATAATGTGCTAATGTTGTGCTGGCTCTAGCGATGTGTTTTTAATTATATTTTATTTTTTAATTTTATTTACTCGACTAACTGGTACTCATCTTGGAGAATACAAGGACAGGACGAATTGCGCCGCAGTGCATTCAAAACAATTAAGACTCTCGCTGAGCAACTGCCTGAGAAGAAAACACTACAGACACGTTTAACACTTAAGTGACACATGCTTGCAGCGAACGTCAGCTAGGCTTGGGGAAGATGAGGCGAACACAACAGCATCTTGGCCATATATATTTATTTATTGTGGCTGATGGACTGTGTGTTCAAATGTTCATTTTTTTAAAGACTGATAAGATTCTCTGCCCAGAATGACTGATGATGTCTTAGAAAAAAGAAACCGTCAGGCTCTCTGCTGAAAGTTGAAATATGTCACTCAAACGCCTGGAGTGAGAAATGTTCAGTCTTGATGTCTCAGACGGTCCTGTGTATTACATCACAGTGCTAACAAAGAGAGACCAGACACATCTGTGATTGGGAGAGTGAAGGAGAGCAGAGCTTGCTGAAGATTTCTTTGAAACTTCACTAGAAGCGTGCTCCTTCTGACAGTTACATGGCTCTGCCTGCACGTTCGCTGTTTAAAAGACAAAGCATTAAAAAAATATAAAGAATTTAGTTAAATACATTTGTCTGGCTTCTGACGTGACTGCATGCTCACCCCTCAAGCACCCAGATTTACAGCACTGCCACAACTGTGACATTTGCTTAATTTTTTCATTGTTTCACATTTTCTATAAGACAAGTACAGTCAAACACTGAGATGCTGTGGTCTAGCTGCAGAGTGACACACGCTTAATGAAGTGCTTTGGTGTCTTAACCCTCGCTCACGGCGGCTCATATGCTCAACAGAATGGAGAACAGAGAAAATCTCACTGAAGCATTCACAACAGCGCTGCATTGTGTGTGTCCCTGCTCATATCGCTTTGCTGGGAGCAAAAGCTCAGATTTGTTGTTTGGCTTAATAAAAGACAATCATCTTGTTTGGGAGACTGGGATAAATACACAACTTGAGCTCTATTATATCGCGATGATGCAGTCATGTAAATCTTTCAGTATAAAAAACATAACAGACATCTCTGCATGGCTGACAGCGTGTTTTCACTTTATAATCTCATCTAGGCTGACAATGCAGAACTGGGCAGAATATGAGCCATCTCTCTCTCTCTTTCTTTTTTTAAAGAAACTGTTAAATGTCTCGGTTTAAACATCAGATAGTTTTTGTGTGGTATAGTGAATAAAATCTGGATTTATGGGATTTCCAAATCAATGCATTATGTTTTTATTTACATTTTACACAGTGGTTTGTATATAAGTCATTGAGTCAGGGACCTATCCTATATAGGAGGCCTGGCTGGATGGTGTAGGTACTAGAATGAAGAGGATACAGTCGTGAAACTTTACAAGCAACCAGTTCAGGTCAGAATAACAGTTTAAAGATGTGGTTTGAGCCTTAATTACTCAATTCCGTCACGAGACTGTCTCAGTTTCCCTCTTCCCTGCTGTCAGTTAGCTGCTGTCCATGAAGGTGACTTAAACCCAGTGCTAAACACAGTCCATAAGACAGATATATCACATCTTGTTGAAGTGATGCGTTGCATACAATTGTGCTTTGCTAGTGTTTAATGTGTTGTGTTATCCTATCGGGACAACACGTCTTTTAAAAAAAGCATTATTTTCAAAAGATGTTGCCTTCTTTTAAGCCTCTGCACGGCTCTTGATTCACTGCTGTGGGCCTCAGGAGATCCCCTCAAACCAGCGGATGAGCAGTTCAACCTATCAAGGCAGTCACTAATAACTCCTAGCATGGATCACAGAGGACGGAGGACCAGCAGCTTAACAGCAAGAGAGTCATTTATTCACTAATAAGATCTGATTTCGGTTCGCCAGCGCACATGCTCTCAGGCATGTTTTCTCCAAGTGAGACTCTCCTCCTATTAAAGCCTGACACCAAACAACATCCTAACATGAACCATGAGCCTGCTTAAAGACAATATCAGCACCTACTAAATGTAGTCTCTTTCCACTTGCTAAATGCAAGTCATTAAGCAGTGCATCTTTAAAATGCTTTAAGTTGAATAAAAACACACATCAGTGTGAAGTGTGCCGTTTGGTCGATATCAGTGTTTCTGAGGCTGCTCCTTCTCCTGTCTACATTTAACCTGCCTAAACACACATTCAGATGCATATTATCCAAACTGTGTTAATTCTATATGAGGCAGAAATTCGATATAAAGACGGATTGATTTGGACAACTGCTTCCTGCTGCACGCATTTAACAGATTCTTACCAGCAAATGAAAGAAACTCGGAGAAAAGCCTCTCCAAAGAATTCAAGTCATCAGCCCACTTTGGATTTTCATGATTAGGTCACACTTGAGAAATAGCACTCAAGACTTTATGAAATAGCATGTTAATTAAAAAAAAGCAGCAGGGTAACTCAAGAGCTGCTACATCCCAGATTGATGCAGAGCTACATGATGCTAAATTTGTGATGTTTTCATCTTTTTTTTTTTCACGTGATGCTGCTCATGAAGAGTCTGTCAGAGGTGTGTAGTCTAAAGCCCTGCAGAGAGTGGTACCCAAATATGAGCTTATGAGAGACGTATGTAGATCTCCGAGTGACTGTGCACGTGTGCAGGTGTGTGAGAGTAGCTGTTCTCCTCTTTGATTTGTGAAATGAAGAGGATCAGAGCCAAAAGTGAAAGGAACTAATGGCAGGATGTCACTGCCGACTTCCTGTGTGAATGTGAGTCTTTGTGCTGAGAAGCTTTTGGACTATAATAAGATGAATGCTTCAGTATGTGGAAAGCTGATAAAAGCATCAATCCTTGACATCTCCTGGCAACCTTTCCAAACTCTGCAGATTCAATCTCTAACATTTAGTCCACTGATGCCCTGAAGGTGCATCAAAGGAACACTATATTTATTACAGAATCAAGGATCTTTATGTGATCTACACTGGAGGTTCTTTAACAAGTAAAATAAATAAATAATTAATGGTTATTTAATTAGAAATAACAATACACACAGAATAAATGTTTCAGGTCTTACATTGGATTAACGAAGTAAGGAAACATTAGTGATATTGATGCAGAACTGCAATGCTTTGTTCACCCACAGGGACTTTATTAGCTACACGTGTCCGTCTCCTTAATGCAAATATCTACCGTAATCAGCCAATTACTTGGCAGCAACAAGGGGAAGATGACCTCAAGTTGAAACCAAACATTAGAATGAGGGAGAAAAGTGATTTAAGTGACTTCCCGCACAAATATAAACTTTACAGAGAATGGTCTGAAAAACAAAAACAAAAAAATCTATCCTATGAGCAGCAGTTCTCGGGGAAAAAATACCTTGATGAAGTCAGAGGAGAAAGGCCAGACTGCTACAAGGTGATAGAAAGGCAACAGTAACTCGTAGCGACATGAAAACATAGATCCATCCTGCCTTGTATCATCAATTCAGGCTGCTGGTGGTGCTGTAATGGTGTGGGGAACATTTTATATCGCGTATCCATCTGCTGAAGACTGCTTGAGTTCACTGTACTTGAATGGCCTCCACAGTCACCAGATCTCAATCCAGTAAAGCAACATTGGGATGCATTGGAAAAGCAAGATTCTCATCATGAATGTACAATTTATAAATCTGCAGTAACTGTGTGATGCTGTCATGTCAACATGGACTAAAATCTCTTAGCAATGTTTCCTTCATTGTGTTGCACGAGTATTCAACAATAAACAGCTCAGTGAGTGGGCCTCTATTTGCCTTTTCTGTAGCACAAACACACACACGCACACAGACAAATGTTCTTTTTACAGTTAAAGAAAAGCAGCAAGGGTTTACTATCAAAAAGCTGTAACCAGGATCTTATTAATACACAGTAAATGAAATGAAGTAAATGTGTCTTGTATTTTCCTTAAAAAAGAAATCAGCTTTATTTTTCAGACAGGAAATGCAACAAAATACAGGATACAGTATGATGTGTTACCAAATGTCCAAACAGTTACAACAAATTTGTGTGCACTGGGTAGAACGAACAGTAGTCGCACATGTTAAACTCACCAGGCGTACAGGTCCTGTCTGACAAAGATCTAATCTACTTATTGCTTTAATGAAAACATTAAAAAGACAATTTATATTTCCTTAAACATCCTGCACTGCCGTTTCCTTTATGTACATGCACAGTCATAAACATCACATATAACATCTTAGAGTCATACAAATGACCAGATGAAAAGACTTTAAAGGACTGTCAAAAACTAGCTTTAAAAAAAATAGTCTTTCATTTGTCATGATCTACCAAAAACATCACAACACATTCCCCAATGCCAAGGGCACAGGAGCTTCCATAAAAGAGGACAAACCTCACCTCTCCCCTCTATCACGCACGTCTCACACTCCCTCGGCTCAGCATAGGAAGTCACATTCATCAACACCCTTCCCCTGATTTAGGCACCCTGGCCCCACCTTGAAGCGCCCCCTTCACTCTCTGTCAGTGCAGGACATCAGCTCTCCTGCTTGTCTTTGACCAAAAGGACGGTGTGCTGCCCTCCACTGGAGGCCATCAGTACTTCACGGTTCTCCAGCTGTTTGCCTGTCATCTTCACAGGACTCCACTCATCATCTTCCTCTCCAGTGCCAAGCTGCAGGTTGGTGCCCATGCCCCAGGCATACACAGATCCTGGAGTAGGAAAAAGTGACAGTTAAGGAGAGCGAGCAACCTTTTATTCTCTAAGGGTGTCGACTGTGTGAAAACCCAGGAGTGAAAGTTTAGTACTTGTTGCACTGTGAGTGATGGCTCTGATAAGAATCCTGCTTCACAATTTTGTGTCAGACAGTCAGTCACACATTTACTGAAGACTTTTTTTCCATATCTAAAAACTGTCTAACCATTAAAGAATAAGTTTGGACACATTATTGAATGTTTTTTTTTTCATTATTTTATATAGATACAAACTGAAGACATCAAATATATGAGGCAAGATATATAGAATTATTTTGCAAAGAAAAAATTGATAAATAATTCTAAATATGTTTTATATTTCAGATTCCTCAAAGTAGCCACTTTTTGCTTTGTTAACAGTGTTGCAAACTCTTGGCCTTCTCTCAATGAGCTTCATGATGTAGTCACCTGAAATGGTTTTTACTTTACAGTTGTGCCTTGTCAGGGTTCATTTCTGAAATTTCTTGCTTTCTTAACAGAGTTGGGACCATCAGTTGTGTTGTGCAGAAGTCAGGTTGGTACACAGCTGACAGCCCTATTTGGCAACTGTTAGAATTCATGTTATGGCAAGAACCAATCAGCTAAATAAAGAGAAACGACAGTCCATCATTACTTTAAGAACTAAAGGTCAGTCAGTCCAGAAAATTGCAAAAACTCTAAATGTGTCCCCAAAGTCCAGTCGCAAAAACCATCAAGAACTATAACAAAACTGGTTCATATAAGGTCCGTCCCAGGAAAGGAAGACCAAGAGTCACCTCTGCTGCCGAGGATAAATTCATCCGAGTCAGCAGCCTCAGAAACCGCAAGTTAACAGCACTTCAGATTAGAGCCCAGATAAATGCCACACAGAGTTCCAGTAGCAGACACATCTCTACATCAACTGTTCAGAGGAGACGAATCAGGCCTTTATGGTCAAATAGCTGCTAAGAAACCACGACTAAGCAAAAACAACAAGAAACACAAGGAATGGACATTAGACCAGTGGAAATCTGTGCTTTGTGTCTGATGAGTCCAAATTGAGATCTTTGCTTCCACCCGTTGTGTCTTTGTGTGATGTAGAAAAGGTGAACGGATGGTGTCTACATGTAGGGTTCCCAACGATGGTGTGGGGGTGCTTTGCTGGTGACACTGTTTGGAATTTATTCAAAACTGAACCAGCATGGCTACCACAGCACCCTGCAGCCACATGCCATCCCATCCAGTTTGCGATCAGTTGGACCCAAATTATTCTTCAACAGGACAATGACCGAAAACACACCTCCAGGCTGTGTAAGGGCTATTTGACCAAGAAGGAGAGTGATGGAGTGCTGCATCAGATGGCCTGGCCTCCACAGTCACCTGACCTAAACCCAACCAAGATGGTTTGGGATGAGATGGATGGCAGGGTGAAGGCAAAAGTGCCAACAAGCGCTCAGCATCTCTATGAACTCCTTCAATACTGTTGAAGGAGACTGTTCAAGGTGACTACCTCATGAAGCTCATAGAGAGAACGCCAAGAGTGTCCAAAGCAGTAATCAAAGCAAAGGGTGGCTATTCTGAAGAATCTCAAATACAAAACATGTTGAGTTACTTCACACTTTTTTGTTTCCTACATAATTCCATGTGTTCATTCATAGTTTTCATGCCTTGAGTGAGACTCTTCAATATAAATAGTCATGAAAATAAAGAAAAACCATTAAATAAGAAGGTGTGCGCAGATGTGACTGATAGTGTAAGTTACAACTGGTAGTTAACGTACAGTAATAGCTTCAAGTACCCCTACAAAACAAGGTTAACTGTGATCTCCTGCTAATAAACCTCACATTACTTTCTCTTCATGCCTAAAGTTGGATTAAACTTGCTGCTATCTCACTGTCACCAGCAGCAATGTCTAAACAAACAGGAAATGCGGGGTCATGTGTTTGTAAGATAAATTTAAAGCTAGGACGATTTAGGGCAAAGTATAGTGTCTCGTTGCACTTCAATGCTTCAGAAGAAAATAATAACAAAAAAAAAGGCTGCAAACAGACTCAGTTGTTTTACTCTTCCCATCCTGATTGCCTTGGTTCTCACCTTCTCTGGTAACTGCATAGCTGACAGACGCCCCGCACGACACTCCTTTAGCCAGCTCTATCCCCATCACAGGTGTGGGCTCGCTCTTCTCTTCAGCCCCTTCTCCCAGACCAAGACGACCATACTCTGCTCTTCCCAGGCTATATACCTGCCCTGAAAGACAAGAGTCCAACACTCCAGCTGACTTGAGTGCTAACAGATGATGCGTAACATCTGCCTGCAATTACACACAGCCAGCTTACCTTCAGCATCAAGGCAAAGTGTGTGATGCTGTCCTCCAGAGAAGTCTACCCAGGCGGTGGTCGAGTTCTTGAAACATGTAAGCTTTACAGGGACAAAACACATCTTGGTGCTTTTGGTGCCTAAAAAGATTCATTTGAAATGATACAGTCACTGTCGCAGTCACAAATAGTACATGGCAGTAGAGTTTACAAAGGATAACGCAGGAGTGACGAGTCACACTGACCCAGCTGGTGATAGTTTGAGAGGCCAAATCCATACACATGGCCCTCCTTTGACACAGCAAAGGTGACGTACGCTCCACAGAAGGCGTCAACGAAGTGAACTTTACCTTTCACTTTTACCATCTGTGGAACCAGCAGCCGCTCTGAGATCACAAAAATAAACAGGAGTGATGTATAGAACATTAAAGACAGTATAAAAAAGAAACATTTATGTAATCAGATATTAACATAAATCTACAGTTTTTGATCCACCAAAAAACAGAAAAGGTGTGTGCTACGTACCAAGGCCTTTCCTGCCTCCTCTGTTTGAAAAGTGTTCAGGCACTCTTCCCAGCTGCCCCTGCTCAGCTGAGCCAGACGTGTATAGATTTCCTTCCAGCGTCACCATTACCACGTGATCATTACCTAGTAAAGAAATCAGTTACACAAATATCCCAGTTAGAAACTCATTTATAGTGCACACATAGTAACATAAAGCACTAAACAAAAACCTTTTCTTTTTACCTGAAACTATTTTAACAAAGTGTTCTGTTAAAGGGACTTTAACTGGTAGAGCACACGTTTTCATCGGCTCCAGAAGACCAATAACTCCATTATTATCCTAAGAAAACAGGGTAATATGCAGACAACATGTTAGACAGTCAAAACATTAAATAAATTTCAAAAGTCTTTTCCCTACATTGTGTAGAATTACAAGAAGATTATGATTTTATTCATTAAAATTAAATGCTTTCTGATTCCACTGCATACATACTAGGGCTGGGCCATATCATACCGTTCGCGGTAATACCGGTATAATGTCAGGCAACGATAAGAAAATGAAATATGGCGATAGAGTATGGGTAAAACACGCATGCGCAGTGCCTTTGTTTTCATACGCACACGGCGGAAAAAGCATTGCAGCGACGGAGAATGAGAGCGAAAGCAGATCGTTGAATGAAACGATGAACCTGGACTGGTTTGTAAAAATGCTGCAGCTTCAGTGGTGTGGAACTGGTGTAGCTTTCGTCCGTCAGATACACAACAAAGCACTATTTTTGGTAGCGCATGCTAGCGGGCCGTCGTTATTACCGTGTTGTTTGGAAAATACGGCGCACTTAAAATCAATCCTTTGATTTTTCTGAAAGTCGACAGAGCCCCTTATAATCCCGTGTGCCTTATGTATGAACTCTGGTTGTGTTTACTGACCTCGAAACGATTTTATGTACACGGCGCTCGAAAATCTGTCAAATGTTTCAGTACGACTTTGCTAAGCTACGAAGCCGCACCGCTTGATGGACTGTCGGAGCATTACGGTTATCGTGGGTGGAGCCTCGCGGAGTGATACGTACTGTGCTTCAACATAATATTACCGTATTGTGTGTGTATAAGCTCTTTTTAGGTTTTGTGGATATTATACATGGTTGTGCTCAGGATATGTCGGCCAGTTTCCACTGCAAACGCCTTTTGGTTAAACTGTCAGCGAGGAATTTGCATTTGCACTGTTACATTTTTATATAACTTTAATGCACATAAAAAACAGCTGCTTGTTTAAGTGAAAATACATTGATGGTTTGTTTTTTGCACTAATAAAGTTGTGGAGTTGTAAAGTATTTTGTCTCGTGTCAATTAAATCGGCAGTTATATCGTTATCGCAAATTTTCAAATGTATATCGTGATAAATATTTTCGGTCATATCGCCCTGCTCTAATACATACTACAATATACTAAAATAGTTTTTATACATTCATTTTACAGCGTTAATAAATGTTTAGGAACAACATTTAGGGTTTGGATAATAATATAGTGCTGAAGGAAAAATGATTTGAAACCTTTGAACAAAAACAATTACATAGAAAGTAATGGAAGGGTGATAAAAATAGTTGCTGAGACAGCACACAGGACCAGACTGCTCCCTAACTAGCAGTTCACTAACCCTGAAAGAGCCCCAGATGTACACCGATCCATCCTCTGTGAGTGCAGCTGTGTGGCTGTCCCCTGCCGATACCTGGACCACCTTCTCATTCAGCGTCACCTTTCCCGGGATCATCTCAGACCCCTCCTCTGATGTGTCCCGACCAAGAGCCCCTTCGTCATTACAGCCAAACGTATAAATCTAAACAAAGAAAACAGTTTACATGAGAAACTAAGAAGCTCTTTGTTAAACGCTACAAAGAGGTTGCCATTACATTTTTTTGAAGTGAGAAATAAGACAGATGTTTGCTTACATTTCCAGTTTCGCCGAGGCACACGGTGTGCATGCCTCCAGCTGTCACCTGAACAATTTTCTCTGGCAGGGACAGAAGTGCTGGCTTCTTCCTTTCAATGACATCTTCCCCTAAACCCAACTGTCCAACATCACCTTGGCCCAAAACAACAACCTGCCCCGCCTCTTTGAAATGACTCCTGTGTGAAACTGAAACACATATACAACCAGTTTCATAGTGAGCACTGAATTTTATTGGTTTGATGGAAAACACATGGAAAATGATGAAATTAGTAAAAAGTTAGTAAAAACACTGACAATGCAGTGTGATACACTTGGGAGTCAAAAGCCTTCCTTTCACATATGTCCATAATACTTGCCTAACAGAAATATCTTACTTCAGCAAACTCAAATAGAAGTGGTGTACATGTTTAATAAATGCAATGCCACTTTTTAGCTGGACTATCAGTTGTTCAAACTGAATCTGGTTACCCCTTTATAAACTCCTGTTTTGAAAAGGGAAGTGACTTACCTTTCACCTTTTTGGAGTCTTTATCATCTTCCACAATAGCAGCAGACTTTCTCTTGGTGGTTGTCTTTTTGGCAGGCATGATAGCAACACTTTTGGACTTTAAGAAAATATAAGGTTGTGTGTAAATTGGGTAAGTTTCTTAACTAAATGGATAATGTGAGTTAAACAGTACAACAAAGTAATTTAAAGTACGCTAGAATTCTTACACCACACAAAATAAAAGAAACAAAAAAGCTAAACAGGATAGTTATTAGATACCACAAATGTCTCAAATTTACAAGGCAAGGCAGATAATTAAGTACATGAACAGCCGACATTTAACCTACAAGTCATTTGCATGTCTACCCTGGGGATGAGTAAAGTATACATCCATCTCTCTATATTACTTACCGATACTCATGATGAGTATTTTAATTGCAGACAGAAAAGCAACGTGGACCACAATAACAAAACACTAGTGTAACCTGGAGAAAACCAGGCTACACTAGTATGATCTCTCTAAATACAAAAGCGTTTATAGACCACAATCACCCTCAAACCAGAGTCCAGACCACAGTGGTCCTGACTCTTAGACAGCACTACAGACTAGCCAGCAGACCAACATAATACACAAAAAGCCTTTTGTTGTTGTTCTAAGACTGCCCAGCAGTTCTTAGGGTTCAACAGCTGTCGGAGCCTAACTTCAATGGTTCTTTCACCCCACAAACAGCTGCGCTTCAGTCACCCCTGCTTCTCATGCTGATAAGAGACCACTGCCCACAAAAATAAGGACACGTGGTACAGTTTGAAATGAGAGTCAGTTTTAGCTTTTGGTCCCCACTATAGATCGTACGACAGACGCTGGGATTTCATAAGGAAGTGCTTGGATAGTGCTATCATCTCCTTTACAGCGCTGGACAGTTTAAATTAAGCTGCGTGATCTAACGCTGGCAGTGCCCATGTGCCCTTGCTAACATTCAGTTAACTTGGCTGCTGAACGAGTTGTATGTGGTGTAAAACATTGACTGTAAATGATCGTGTCACAACGAGCAACGAACACAGCGAGAAAGCAAGATAGTAAATATAAGTTGTTACAGCTTAACCAAAGTTAGTTGGCCGGCATTGAAAGTAAAGCTTTTCAGCCAAATGCCGGCTAACTGTTTGCTAGCCAATGCTAGCTGGCTAGCTAGGGTGTTAGCGTGACATTGAATGAATGAAACCGAGAAACATAATTTAACAATGTAACTGCGTGCGATTCAGTGGTGCAGTATTTCTCGATACTTGTTTAATCCGTCTGTGAAGTGTAGGAGGTGATAATTAACTGACCTGTGAAATGTTGAAGAGTGCAGTTTGAAGTGAACGTGCACAGCCTGGTTCCCGGTCTCGAGACGTGCAACGTTACGTTCTGTGGAACCTTTGGAACGCCCGCCTCCTTAAAGAGACAGTAACACTCAGAGCCACAGGAAGATGGACACAAACAGATGTTTACATGTATATATGTCTATCTATCTATGATAAAGTGCATCCGGCGAAGCCATGTATCTGCGTAAATTAAGTAATACTTGGTGCTGGAGGAAGTACTCCTATCATCTTTCTCAGAACTGGGACAGGTAGCTCTGGTGAATGAATCGGGCTACAGATCAGTTATAAATGTAAAAGTACTAACGTCTGGTGGAACACTCAGTTTTTATTATAACCAAAGATATGAGAGTATTTTCTACTCCTCCTTCTTCTTATTTTGGCTGTTTCCTTTAGGGGTCGCCACAGCAGATCATCTGGCTCCATCTCACCCTCAGTACCTCAAGTACTTCAAAAAGTGCAGAATTTAGGTAAAGGTACACGTCGATAGCTGTAATAGGGCAGTGTATTATTGTTAACAAACAAAAACACCCAACAACAACAATGTAAAAGTAGTGGTATTTTCATCTAAAGTTGAATGCGTAATATAAAACCTTTACCTTATATAGTTAATATTTCTGTTATCTTGTACAGCTCAATAATTAAGCAAGCTGTATGTAATGTAAAGAAAATGCTGACCAGCTGATATTAACACAGAGACTGTTGGGAATCTTTTGATTTTCACCTTAATCCATCTTGTATCACTTTTATGTCTAATTGATATTAAGAGATAAAAATTTATCAGTAACCTACAAACCTTTTTTTTAGGTTGTCCCTTATCTGTTGTATATTTTGTAACTAGATTTCCTTTTGTCCAACCCAGACCTTAAGGATCTGTGAACATATTTTACCTTCAGTCTTGTCTTTCTTTCTTTAGCTGACGCTAAAGCTACTAGCAAAACTCTCAATTTTCTCAGTGTGAAGACCTTTACCTACACATTTAATCCCAATAATATGAAAAGTGCAATTTCAACTATACCTCTCGGTTTTTTGTACACGATGAAGACATACTGCTGTAGTAAATGAAAGAAATCTATTAGCACAAACAAATAAACAAGTAAAATTACAGAAAAGGTTCTGGCAGCTAACTGTCCAGACTTTTCAGTAATTACAAAATTGAAAGATGTTGGTAATTCACAGAAGATTAGTTTTTCATTGTTCTAATTATTTACTTATTTTTACTGTGGGCCCATTGTAAAACTAAATGACTATAGTCCATATGAAAAAGCAGGAACTTTTGATTATTTATCTATGGCTTAATTACTCCCATATGGGAGATTTTATCAGTAGGAAAACCTGTAAAATTTCTAAAAATATAGTTAAAAGTTTAAAATCTATTCCCTCCTTCACATATTCCAAAACCGCCATCAAGTGGCCCAGATTGGAGTCTTTGCGGGAACAAATCTGGCCCCCGGGGGCTCATGTTTGACACCTCCACCCTTTGGTGTCACCTTATCCAATAATCTAAAATATAACCTATTACTTAAAATACATTTTAAATTACACTAAAGGCCTTTAAACCAGCAATTTTTAAAAAAACCCAAAAGATAGTGCAAGTGCAAAAACTTAAATCGCCACCAGGTGTTGCTGCAAACCCACTGTTTCTTTAGACGTTCCAGCTTAGACAAAAGACTCAACCTGAACAGTCATTAGGTCTACTGGACCTCAGTTGCAGAGTTGTTTCACAAGAAGGTTCGAGGAATTGCAAGATTTTTAATTAGATCCAGACTATTTACAATTAAAAAGAAGACTGTCAGCTCATACAGCTCCACATTCAATTAAAAATGAACTCAGATTTACAGAAAGGTGCACTTTCATATTCCCATTCTTGTAGCATTTAATCATAAACTCATGTTCTGCTTAAAAAAATAGCAACCTATAATACTTTTATATTTAAAATTTCTTTTCAAATAAAAGGAAGACAAGATATACAGAAGCATCAGATAAACCTATATCAACTTATACACACAGCACTTAGAACCCTGTAAGCTACTGGCCAGACAAGACAAGGTAAAACACTTCTGCAGTTTCAAAAAGTTCCAGCCAAACTGAGTTTCTGTTGACCGATTATGTGTTTTCAGGTGTGGTTTTTTTTCTTTTTTTTGTGATAAATCCCTGATCTACACTTGAAGCAACTTACATTTAACTCTTAGTTTAGACACTATCGTAACGACCTTATTTAAAATGGCTACAGAATGTATTGCATGTTCAATCTTTAAAGGGAAGTACAAAAACTTACAAAAGAAAAAAGTATAAATGAAGAGAGATTATCCAGACGCGGTGGCACTGGATTTTGTAATGGCTCATGCAGTGGGTTGCAGAAATCAGTGATATGAAAACCAGTATTGGGTGTGTTGGCACGCATTAAAACACCAACAGCCTCCTGACCTTTTTCTATAGCTATTAAAAAGCCGACTCACATCACAACCACAAACACAGGCAAGCCAAATAATAATAATAATAATAATAATAATCATAATAATAAAGAAGGCTCAAAGAAAAGCTGTCACTACCCTTGTGATCAAAATTGTAATAGAAAATATTTTGTGCATTACAGAATATTTTGCAATGAGATCTCTTCCAGTTTCACTCTAACGTATCACAGCAGCAGTCTGTAGAGTGGATAACAAACACACGATATCCCAGAGATGTCCAGTTCTAAAACAGAATATTTAAGTCTTCAGCCAACTCCTGACCGTTTGTGTCTATTATTACTGTGTGAAGTGTTATAGGTCATCATTATTGTTACCATTTTTATTCTACGTTATTACATTAGCAAAGATGAGTTAGCTTTTCCATATACAGTAAAGAAGAAGAAGAAAAAAAGAAAAAGGCAACACAGGACGAGGCCGCATTAAAGGTTGTAACTATATCCGAGTCCCTGAGGGGCACCACACAACAGCAGAGTGAGAGTAAGCCCTGTAGGTCCTTTGCCACTTCTCCACTTTATTGGCACGTGGTTCCCCCTGCTGTCCGGGAGAAATACTGCATCTGGTCTCCACCCACCAACACCTCGGTTCAGTGAAAGCAATGTAGTGAGAGGGCGATGGAGGACAAGCAAGAAGCATTCTCGTGTGGAGTCGGTTCCAGGCTTTCCCTGATAACAGTACATTCAAGAGGCGCAAAAGGGCGATCTGTCTGCATAGGGAGCAGCTGCTTCTTTGCCGGAGATCTTAAGTGCTTCTTTATCCGGAAGCAGGGATGTTAAGGCCGATGGAACCTAAAGAAACAAACAGCTCTCATGAGGCAAGATCACACCTTCGTAATCCTTAAGCTTTTAATGCAGGGAAATTCATTATATTGCTATTTAAGGTACAGATTTTTCTCTAAAAGTCTTCTTCTGCCCGTTGTTAGTGCTGGATTCTGCCATTCAACCAAGAAATAAAGATGACCAATCAATCAGTTTCTACATGGATGTTTACTGGTCACAACTCTATTACCGTTCGAGCCGGATGGTAATGTAGTAGCAGATCACCACTGCTGCTAATTCATATTTAAAGTGTTTAGGTGCAAGCAACACAAGATGGCTTTAAGTGTAAAGCAATCACAGGACACAGTGCATGTGTAGCTAAGGCAGCCGATGTCTACAGACTAAAATAAGTGACATCCTGAAGGTCGTTAACAATTGAGGGAGTATGAAATAAACAGTGTTGACACAGTAGCAAGGTAACAAACTCCTTTGGCTAAAACCTGCTGTTGGGAGGAGATGTCTTCAGGATGAGCGCCAAGGTTGGCTGCAAATGGCAGGAAGTGTTCAAAGATGCATCACTCTCAAGTGTGCATTACATATTTCATTGTTTCCCTGACACAACCAGGAGAAATAAATAACAACAAAAACAAAACTGTGTGGTGTTTGCATGGCTTCCCTGTGCTCCAGGTACCCCTCTTCCTCCCACAGTCCTAGGTTTTGGGTGGTCATGCATGTTAGCTTAATGGGTGATTCTAAATTGGCCGTAGATGTGAACGCGAGTGTGAGTGGTTCATCTGGCTCTCCTTTAGCTCTGCGATGGACTCACGAGCTGTCCAGAGTGTTATAAACCAGTTTCTCGGTTTATAACAGCTGAGATAGACTCCGTACCCCACCAACATGAAGGAGTGGTGTAGAAAAAGAAATCAGCAAAACACAGTACCTCACTCATTTGACCAAAGCAATCAATCAGCCAGTCAAGTTTCAACTAAAAGGTATACCTTGTGTAAATTCTGCTCTCTTCATGAACCTCCATTTCAGTGCTCTTATAATCATTGAGCTCCTTCCGGATGGCCGCCTAGACAAAACAGCAATTTGGTTAAACATGAACTCAGAAAGAAAACGAGACAATATACAGCTAAAAATTACATTAACCTAAAGGAGTTGCACATGTTTAACATTTAAAATCATATGTTTGTAACACTGTCTTGGACATTTTGTAAAGTGCTGTATCAGAAAGCGGGTGTGCCGATAAAGCCTTTATATGCAGCTGATTACCTTGTCGGCAGGAGTGAGCTTAGTCCACGGCTTGTCTGCTCTTCTATCGTAGTCCTGGGCATCTGTGACTTCCACATACTCGTGGAATCGCAAGATTTTTCTTGCCTGTAGTTCTGCAACCGTGGGTCTTTGACTCAGCTACAATAAAGATGTTTTTTTATGTCAGTTTAATATCAGGTAAATACATGGTTTAACACTGGGATGTTTGCAGGCGTGCTGCTTCACCTTTCTGGTCAGCCGTCGCTTGATCTCTCGAACTTCGGCTTGTCTGTCAGCCTGATTTTTAGCTGAGGGGAGAACAAAGATGGGAGAAAGAATAGAAGAGCCAAATTTAGACTTTGGCATAAAAGGCTTGGTTTGATGGCAGGTTTAAAAGCAATTTCTAAAATTAGATATGTGCTTGTTGTTGACAGATGTGAAATGTACTTTGTTGACAAATGCTGGGGCAAAAGCATCAGACGAAAGAATGAGGAGGGGTTTTGCTAAAACCCAGAAACAAAGGAGTCCAAACAAGTCAAGGATCATGAACAAAGACAGAGAGAGTTAATACTAACGCTGGAGGATGTTTCT